ATATACTCTCTGGTTGCTGAGTATTCATATGCTATCTGGTTTCTAAGTATTCATATGCTCTCTGGTTGCTAAGTATTCATATGCTCTCTGGTTGCTAAGTGTTCATATACTTTCTGGTTGCTAAGTATTTGTATGCGCTCTGGTTTCTAAGTATTCATATGTTGTCTGGTTGCTAAGTATTCATATGCTCTCTGGTTGTTAAATATTCATATGCTCTCTGGTTGCTAAGTATTCATATGCTCTCTGGTTGCTAAGTATTAATATGCTCTCTGGTTGCTAAGTATTCATATACTCTCTGGTTGCTGAGTATCCATATGCTATCTGGTTTCTAAGTATTCATATGCTCTCTGGTTGCTAAGTATTCATATGCTCTCTGGTTGCTAAGTATTCATATACTCTCTGTTTGCTAAGTGTTCATATACTCTCTGGTTGCTAAGTATTCATATGCTCTCTGGTTTCTAAGTATTCATATGCTCTCTGGTTGCTAAGTATTCATATGCTCTCTGGTTGCTAAGTATTCATATACTCTCTGTTTGCTAAGTGTTCATATACTCTCTGGTTGCTGAGTATTCATATGCTCTCTGGTTTCTAAGTATTCATATGCTCTCTGGTTGCTAAGTATTCATATGCTCTCTGGTTGCTAAGTATTCATATACTCTCTGTTTGCTAAATGTTCATATACTCTCTGGTTGCTAAGTATTCATATGCTCTCTGGTTGCTAAGTATTCATATACTCTCTGGTTGCTAAGTGTTCATATACTCTCTGGTTGCTAAGTATTCATATGCTCTCTGGTTGCTAAGTATTCATATACTCTCTGGTTGCTAAGTATTCATATGCTCTCTGGTTTCTAAGTATTCATATGCTCTCTGGTTGCTAAGTATGAATATAATCTCTGGTTGCTAAGTATTCATATGTTCTCTGGTTGCTAAGTATCCATATACTCTCTGGTTGCTAAGTATTCATATGCTCTCTGGTTGCTAAGTGTTCATATACTCTCTGGTTGCTGAGTATTCATATGCTATCTGGTTGCTGAGTATCCATATGCTATCTGGTTTCTAAGTATTCATATGCTCTCTGGTTGCTAAGTATTCATATGCTCTCTGGTTGCTAAGTATTCATATGCTCTCTGGTTGCTAAGTGTTCATATACTTTCTGGTTGCTAAGTATTTGTATGCGCTCTGGTTTCTAAGTATTCATATGTTGTCTGGTTGCTAAGTATTCATATGCTCTCTGGTTGTTAAATATTCATATGCTCTCTGGTTGCTAAGTATTCATATGCTCTCTGGTTGCTAAGTATTAATATGCTCTCTGGTTGCTAAGTATTCATATACTCTCTGTTTGCTAAGTGTTCATATACTCTCTGGTTGCTGAGTATCCATATGCTCTCTGGTTTCTAAGTATTCATATGCTCTCTGGTTGCTAAGTATTCATATGCTCTCTGGTTGCTAAGTATTCATATGCTCTCTGGTTGCTAAGTGTTCATATACTCTCTGGTTGCTGAGTATCCATATGCTATCTGGTTGCTAAGTATCCATATGCTATCTGGTTGCTGAGTATCCATATGCTATCTGGTTGCTGAATATTCATATGCTCTCTGGTTGCTGAGTATTAATATGCTCTCTGGTTGCTAAGTATTCATATGCTCTCTGGTTGCTAAGTATTAATATGCTCTCTGGTTGCTAAGTATTCATATACTCTCTGGTTGCTGAGTATCCATATGCTATCTGGTTTCTAAGTATTCATATGCTCTCTGGTTGCTAAGTGTTCATATACTTTCTGGTTTCTAAGTATTCATATGCTCTCTGGTTTCTAAGTATTCATATGCTCTCTGGTTGCTAAGTATGAATATAATCTCTGGTTGCTAAGTATTCATATGTTCTCTGGTTTCTAAGTACTCATACGTTGTCTGGTTGCTAAGTGTTCATATACTCTCTGGTTGCTGAGTATTCATTCTTCTAATCATCATTTTCACATTATATTAGAACCATCGCCTCCTCCAAAGGAACCAACACCCCCTCCCCCATCACCAACGCCGCCGCCTCCAGGTGAGTAAACATATAACAATCATTCGCTTCCATTTTCTAACCTTCTCAATTCATGTTTCCATGGCAATCATCAGTTTACACATCATCTGCTATATCCATTGAAACTAGCTCAACCTCATTTAAGTCAGCCTAATCGACATTAATGCTAACATTGTCATTCTTGCACATATCAGTTGAGGAACCGCCGCCAAAAAAGAAATCCGAACCTAAACCCAAGAAAGTGAGAGAGCCGAAAAAGAAAAAGGAAATTGTGAAAAAAGAAAGAAAACCCCCTCCGCCAAAAGAAAAGGTAATATATCATAGTTGCGTCTGTTACAAATCGTCCCTGGTTATACAGTAGCGAAATTAAGTTGGTAAGTGTAATCGTGTTCTTTTGTACGGGTAAGCAGCGATACGTCAATACGAGGTCAATACTTTGACGCCAGATGTGACAACCCATGTTTAACTCAAGGTGATGCCGGGGGCAAACGCAGGCCATATCATATAAAGCGGCCAACCTCAGAGGACCAATACAGCGGAGTTGAATATAGTGCAATTTAGAGAAACACCCGTATTTAGAAAAGTTCCATTGCGATCGTCGTATAGATTTGAGGTTTTCTTTCAGCGATTCGAATTGTACTCGTCGTGAATAGAGCATTTGGGCATTATATTCACGAACGTGACAATGCAATCACAGTATTGCACTCAAGTCGCCATATAGACAATGTTTACTCTTTAGCAGATCTCAATAACTGCACAAACACAACAGTGCGTCTGTATCGGCTAAATGTTGTTTTACAAAGAACACTGATTTGAATTGGTAGACGGTGACATACTAGTATATCGAACAGCATAGTGCACAGTGTCAATGTCGCCGAAGTCCATTGGACGCTTGATGTAGGCAGAAAGCGGTTGGTGAAATTGTATGTAAATGTACTACTTAGTGACTGCTGTATTATCCTCATCAGGCTTTTAATTCAAACTTTATAGGAACCTGAACCACCACCACCACCGCCAAAGGAGCCAACACCGCCACCTCCTACTCCACCTCCGCCAACACCACCACCGGTTGTCGTACCACCTTTACCGGTAGAACTACCGCCGTTGCCGCAAACAAAAATACCAGCTTCACCGGAGCCTGAGCCAGAATCGGAACCGGAGCCAGAATCAGAAACTCCCCCACCGGAGGAACCAGAGGAGCCGGAGAGTGAGTTGGCGAAACTACCACCGCCACCACAAGTAAATGCTCCTATAAAGTGGAAGAGACGACCCAAGTAAGTGTGGGAATCACAGTGTCCTCTCATTCGGCGAGCTTCTGACAAAATTCACTTGTTATATAGTTTGCTATCCGTTGTTACAGTCGTGATTAATGCTGCTGTTTATACCGTAAATATCGGGTTTGTGTACCGAGTTATGAGGTAATTACAGTTAAAGAGACCTTCATGACGTAGATATGTTCTGTGGCTCTTTTTGTCAAGTTGTCAGGAAATCCACTGAGAAACTGTTCGAAGGTCACTGACACATACGATAATCAGCTCAAACGAGCCGAAATATTGTCTCGGGTGTTGAGTTTCGTTGTCTCCTTTTTTGAATCACTGCGCTTTTGTTTTCAGAGGGCCAAAACGGAAATGGCGCGGAATGAACCAGCCCGTACCACTGCCTAGACCCGAGGAATCTGAAGAGAGGCTTGCTATGAGGGACCCCTTGGACTACTTGGCAAAGTACTGCATTGTACAGTAAGTATGTAGTTTAGTGTATGGGAAAGCTTATCCTTAAATCATTTACTATTTTCAGCATAATTTAAATGCTACCGAGCAAATCACTGCTAGTAAATGAAATTCGATCAACTTCTTGAAGAATTACGAAAAGTTGCTTGGGGCGATTGTACTATGCATTGTTGAATTGATCAGTATTTAATTGTGAATATTGAGTCACATATGTTGTAGATTTCCATAAGAGATCGTAGAATGCATATTTTATGTTTAGATGTCGTTGTTTGTGCAAAGGACTTCTGATCTTAGCCGTTTTAAGAATTTGTTTATCGTCTGCGCATTGAAGCGCAACTGACAAGTTATTTGCCACCGAGCTGCAGCAATTCGGCAATGAATCTTTTCAAAATAGCGACATCGCCCAAGGGAACATTGTGAATACTCCATTCGAATAGAAAACGTACAACTGTGGAAATACCAGCTTAGGTTGAGTCAGCCATATAAATATGTTAAGTCTACTTCTTACAGCAAAGAAAGATTACCGGCTTACCAACGTGTTTTTAATGATGTCATGAAAAAGAAAGGCTATCGACCTGACCAACTATTGCCAACAGATCACCCGCCTCCCCCTCGGCCATTGCGTCATCGTAGAACCACTGGACTTCAGGACTACGTCGAAGATCAGCATACCGCTCCGGGGACAACGGTAGATGGAGATTACGAAACAATTAAAGGAACGTTCGCGCCACCAACGGTGACGGAGACACCTGGCTCATACGTCAGTCCACTTTCAATTACGTTAACCAAAGCCCCGGATGAAGACGGACGAGCAGACGGCACAGAAAGTCCCACCAGTGATTTGGGGACTCTCAGTCGTTCATCTAGTTTTGTGGGCTCCACTTCGGTGAGTAGAACATTATATTTGGTGAAAGTTTGTTTTGCATCTTTTTACAAAACTATTCCATAAGTCAGGGTACTTATAGTAGTAGAATTGTACGGAACTGATCCATACTTTCCAATCATGAACACCACTGTTAACTTTAGTGTCGTTGATGGCGGTAAACACGAGACGGTAATGCTAGTAGAGAAGAACATCATATGTTTTCGTACTGAAACCATTTGATACAAGTGATCCTGTCTGTAGATATCACGTGACATCCACGTACCTTAATAATCTATTGTGTGGATTTAATTTAAATATTTAATTTGGAAGACATTAAATTCCAATTGCCATGTCCTATCCTTGTTTCGCGAAGCACGTGACTGTCTCGCAATATATTATTTTACAAAACAAAATATGAACGTTTTACTGAAACTAAACATATTGATTGTATTAAAAGTTCGATGCCGACGATCACTATAGTCGAGTCAACTATATCATGAATAGCAACAGGGAAAAAGTTGCCAATCTGAAAAACAAAGTTCGGAGACTAGAAGGTGAGTACAAATAATTTCATTTAATTTGTTTTCCAATTTAAATTTTAGCCGATATGGTCATATACACATATATGGCATGAATGTGTATGGGTTTTGACTAACCGGTAACCAGTGACAATGAGCAGTGCTAACACTTCCAATACTAGCATTCTCTAAATAGTATTAGTACTCAAAATCATGAGTGTTTGCAGTGAGAACTCGTCCTGTTCTGTTCCCACCAGGTCAGAGAATACGTATCCTTGCCAGAGCAGCCAGGGAAGAATTTCCTGACATTTTACGTGATGATTACGCACCTCCAGTGAAAAAGGGGAAAGATGGTAAAAAGGGAGCAAAAAAAGCTGATAAAACAAAAGGTACGTTTAATTCTTTTTCGCTGTAATTTTACCAGTTTCTGTACTATGATGTTGTAGACCACGAACGCTTACACAATTGTGTGTGTCAACTGTGGTCGACCACTAAAAGAAGAATGTTTAGATAGGGTTGTGCAAATACCAATAGTACATGATAGACGTTGCATGCATGGACGAACTAGTACTAGTACTAGTACTAGTACGTCCATGTTACATGTGACATGTGTTCTTGTGTGTTTTTATTTCAGAAAAGAGCGGTCACTCACATGGTCCGAGCAGTCGTGGTAAGGTGATGTTCCTACCAGACCCCGTACAAACGGCCATGTCTCTTGACAATGCGGATGATGGCGTTCCGGCGAAGTCAAAACTCGATGCCAAATCTGACGAATTTGTAGTCAACAGATTACAGCCAAATCAACTAGCGATGGTGAGTTAACATTAAGCGGGGGAGTCGTCACCTGCGCATGCGTCAGATGGCCATAGCGTGTCATTGTTTACAACCAAGCGTATGTCAATGAGCCATTGCGTTTTAGCGTGTGTTGTTATCGTCGCTTGGAACTCAATTCCCGCGCGTGCGCAGGTGACGACCCTCCCGCTTTAAAGCAAAGCTTTACAATGTCCTCTGAAATTGTTGATCGCTGCTGTTGACGTTATGAGTGTCTAATTAATGTATTGATGAATAAATTAGGTTTTTGTTAATTGTGAAGATTAAATATTTCAGAAACAACTTTAGCGTTAAAATGACAATATAGCATGACAGTTTGCTGTGCCTACTGACTGTAAACAAGCATGTCGCACGCGCGTGTCAAATGTGTTTACGTCAACTGTGATTGACATCTAGACTCGCACGTTATAATTAGCATAAAAACCCGCATACAAATTTGCTGCGATCTGAGGGGCGCGGCAGAATAAACTATAAAACAATGATATTGACACAGCGGGGGAATTGCCGGTTATTAATAAATAACTTGTTTTTGCACTTGTATTGTTCACGCTATGTGGTTCTCGGTTGTAGTAATATGGTGTACATTTCCGTATAGTGATCAGTAACAAGAAATGCTAGTATCCTACTTTGTATTTATACAGTATTGACATAGGTTCAACAATTCTGTGATATCTGCTAACTCAAAAACATGAATAATTAAAACGTAACAATTTGCACGATGTTTAGTTAGAAAACACCAAATGTATCGGCCACATGTGAACGCACGAGTGCCTTTAGATGGACTTGACAATTGAGTGACGCACTCCGCCTCTGTTCATGACATGTTTGTTTTTAATTGTTAATGTCATTTATTTGTCATTAGTTGGAAACAATTCCAGATGTAGAAAGAATAGACTTGGAAATGGAAAGGGCTGTGGAAAAAGTCGTCGAGGCCGAGAACAGAATTGTAGAGTTGAAAGGTAGGACACGTTCATGTGTAAGAAGTTCTATCGAGAAATATCACAGTATTCTGCTGGTTGTTCACATAACACGTCATTTTGTCAGTGATGTGCCCATTAAATATTGTGTGTAATATTATAAAGTAACTTTTTCTTCAGTAACGCAATTGCTTTCATTCATTCATTCATTCAGAGATACGATCGGTCACATCGAAAGTACTAGTAGAATTAAAACGACATGAAGATGACGTCAGACCTGCCAAATCTCCGGATTTTAGAAGAAAGCAAAGTCCAAAATATAAGAAGATGAACCCAGTAACGGTACGTATTGGTGGATCTCGAAGTTTTGGAGATTTAATTACGAAGCTGATCAAATAAAACGCTCGAAATTCTGTGTGAGCTTACAATTGGGTATGACCTTAATGTCTGACCTAATTACGATTACGATTAGTTATCATAGATATATTCTTATTTGAATTACAGGACTTAGAAATGGACATAAGTGAGGTGGAGCCTGCACTTCGTCAAGTTAACAGTTATCTTATAACGGAAAAAGAGTGTGAATACGTATATCATGCAAGTATTGTTCTGTTATTATATTGTTTATATATAAGCTGACGTTTATTGTGCATATTTGAATACATATGCACGACCTCAGAGAACATTGTTTTAATGACAGACATTATTTACATTACGGTCTATCATTGTGGAAACTAAAATGCCACGTAATGTTTAACAGTCTTTCTCAAAATCAGATTTAAATGGGCATTTTTTATCCGGTTAAAATATTAATGTCATAAAAATAGAATATTTCGACGAATGAATAAATAATTAACATCCCGAAGTGTCCGTTTCATTTAGCTGACGTGATTCGTTATTTTATTATTCAACAGATATTGGAATTACCACAACGTGCAAAGCTCAACTTCAAATTGTTTACCGTGGTAGCAGCGTTATCGGAAAAAGTTTCCAGACTTGAGTAAGTTTCGTTATTTCACATGATTTATTCTGTTATTTGTTATTTATCCAAATAATAGTGGCACTCTTTGAGAAAAGAATATATGAAGATTGTTGTGTTATTCTTTGACACTTCATCTGCTTTATTTCAGTCCCTTTGTCCGAAAACTTATCAATAAATTGGATTTTGACGCACTAGACGTAAAACTTGATCATGCTAAGGTAAGTACTCGATATGATAAGTAAAAGAGTCACTGTGTGGGTGGGACAAGTGTCATGAATATATTTTTTTTTAAATCCTATATTTATCTAATGAAATTTATCACCAAATGAATCCATTTTAAAGTTTTAGTTATCCTTTAGGGCGGCACATTCTTTAGATGACCACGTGATACGAACACCATTAGTAACAGTATTGATGGAGTTCAATGATAACTAGCACAATGTATTGAAGCGTAGCATTAATTATAAAAGTAAGTAATCACTGTATGTATGTGATGCCGGTTGTAACCGTGCTTCATGTGTGTGTATATTGCAGGCGCTTTTCCGATTATTAGAAAGTGAAGAAGACGATGTTGATTTCCGTCCAGGTGAAGTCAGTGTACGAAGTCTGGCAATAGAGTGCGCAGCCGGTGGCATTACTAGAGAGCATACGCAATTTGTAAGTAAAAGTATAGCGCCATCTATCGACAGGACGCATCATTCAATATAGCTAATAAACAGCCCACTTTCCCGGTAGGAGTGAGACTCGGGGTGTAAACGCTCGTCTTTTTCATGGTGCAAATACAAACGTGTAAGTTTGGTGACATTCGGTAAAGGGGAATCTCATTTTTGTCACATCGATTGGTATACCCCCAAGCACAATCGCGTGTAAGTTTATGTTACCCCTTCAAACGGTAATAACCAAGCATGGTGGTCGTCGCGCCATGCGAAGATGCACAGACCAACGCACAGATCAACGAGTACAAACTGAAACGTCGCCAAGCTTTAAATAAGTAATTTCTTTGGTGATTGGAGATATCGAAGGTCAAAACTCGTACTCTTGATTTACAGTAGAAGAGCGCATTGGATTATGGGAAAATTAATGTTTATCAACACAAATGTTGTACTGGCACATGCGCGACGCGACGACCACCGCCCTTTAACCATGATGAGCTTGAATCAGGCATACATGTAGTTGCTTTCTGTCGAATGTTGGCTAATTTTTCGTGTATCGTTTTGATATCATCGCCATGCCAAATATAATTTATTACTGTTATCTGATACTAGTTCTTTTTTTTCTGCAGATTGTAGACAAATTTAACAGAGAAGGAAAGAACTTCGTGGATTTTCTTGACTATCTAACTTACGTGCCATTATTTATAGAAATTCATGATAATATATGCAAAGATCCTCTTAACTTGGATCGTACGAGGTAAAGCCAAAAAACCTTCCTAACTTGTATCGTACGAGGTAAAGCCAAAAAACCTTCCTAACTTGGTTCGTACGAGGTAAAGCCCAAAAACCTTCCTAACTTGGTTCGTACGAGGTAAAGCCAAAAAACCTTCCTAACTTGGTTCGTACGAGGTAAAGCCAAAAAACCTTCCTAACTTGGTTCGTACGAGGTAAAGCCAAAAAACCTTCCTAACTTGGTTCGTACGAGGTAAAGCCAAAAAACTCTCCTAACTTGGTTTGTACGAGGTAAAGCCAAAAAACTCTCCTAACTTGGTACGTACGAGGTAAAGCCAAAAAACTCTCCTAACTTGGTTCGTACGAGGTAAAGCCAAAAAACCCTCCTAACTTGGTTCGTACGAGGTAAAGCCAAAAAACCCTCCTAACTTGGTTCGTACGAGGTAAAGCCAAAAAACTCTCCTAACTTGGTTCGTACGAGGTAAAGCCAAAAAACTCTCCTAACTTGGTTCATACGAGGTAAAGCCAAAAAACTCTCCTAACTTGGTTCGTATGAGGTAAAGCCAAAAAACTCTCCTAACTTGGTTCGTACGAGGTAAAGCCAAACAACCCTCCTAACTTGGTTCGTACGAGGTAAAGCCAAAAAACCCTCCTAACTTGGTTCGTACGAGGTAAAGCCAAAAAACTCTCCTAACTTGGTTCGTACGAGGTAAAGCCAAAAAACTCTCCTAACTTGGTTCGTACAAGGTAAAGCCAAAAAACTCTCCTAACTTGGTTCATACAAGGTAAAGCCAAAAAACTCTCCTAACTTGGTTCGTACGAGGTAAAGCCAAAAAACCCTCCTAACTTGGATCGTACGAGGTAAAGCCAAAAAACCTTCCTAACTTGGTTTGTACGAGGTAAAGCCAAAAACCTTCCTAACTTGGTTCGTACGAGGTAAAGCCAAAAAACCTTCCTAACTTGGATCGTACGAGGTAAAGCCAAAAAACTCTCCTAACTTGGTTCGTACGAGGTAAAGCCAAAAAACTCTCCTAACTTGGTTCGTACGAGGTAAAGCCAAAAAACCCTCCTAACTTGGTTCGTACGAGGTAAAGCCAAAAAACCTTCCTAACTTGGTTCGTACGAGGTAAAGCCAAAAAACCTTCCTAACTTGTATCGTACGAGGTAAAGCCAAAAAACCCTCCTAACTTGGTTCGTACGAGGTAAAGCCAAAAAACCTTCCTAACTTGGTTCGTACGAGGTAAAGCCAAAAAACCCTCCTAACTTGGTTCGTACGAGGTAAAGCCAAAAAACCTTCCTAACTTGTATTGTACGAGGTAAAGCCAAAAAACCCTCCTAACTTGGTTCGTACGAGGTAAAGCCAAAAAACCTTCCTAACTTGGTTCGTACGAGGTAAAGCCAAAAAACTCTCCTAACTTGGTTCGTACGAGGTAAAGCCAAAAAACCTTCCTAACTTGGTTCGTACGAGGTAAAGCCAAAAAACCTTCCTAACTTGGTTCGTACGAGGTAAAGCCAAAAAACCTTCCTAACTTGTATCGTACGAGGTAAAGCCAAAAAACCCTCCTAACTTGGTTCGTACGAGGTAAAGCCAAAAAACTCTCCTAACTTGGTTCGTACGAGGTAAAGCCAAAAAGATGGTGGAGGCTGTACAGATGATATAAACCACCAGTACTATTGTAACGTTTTGATTGCATCCATAGAATATAATTGTATTTAGAAGATAGTTCATTGGTTAATTACAACTGCATATGCAAATATATGTAAATAATACTGTGGAAATATTATAAGTTGGGAAACCCACTATCAGGTGTCTGCAGATGTAAATTTACAGTGGTTTATCGACATACTAGTATAACGAAACAAACTCTTACGTATTAAAATCGCAATATTAGTGTAATCTCATTTCAAGATAAGTTATTTTTAACATAAACAGATTAATTAAATTATATGAAAAGACAATGTTTGCAATAGCTATGCAGCATCCGGACACGTTCAGAGTGGTGATTTTATGAGGGACTGCTTCTATGAAGCATTTCGTGCATAATTTATTGTACACACCCTGGGCGACATATTTTCTAAGGTTTTTGTATCTACATTTTCCAGAAAAAACAGCCATAGTCTACGTTATCCCATATAAGTTCTCTGTTTTCCCATATACAAATATCATTCCTCTGTATTCCATATAAAGATATCATAGTCTTCTATTACCATATAAGGATGTCATAGTATTTTTAATTTCTAGCGAGAGGAAAAAATCACACATATTTACATTTACAAATGTCGTGTATTTGCAGAGGTTATTTATTTCTCAACATTTATTTAAATTAAAAGTGTTATTTTGGTAATCATATCTGACATTCGTGCAAAAATAATATGTAAATATTTGGTAGTAATAATTGTATCATGTGATAGATTCTGACCAATCAGTACCGATCCAAGCCATTGCAATTCTAACTTTAATATTCTGTCACATTAAATCGTCCATTCATTTTCTGTCCGCCATGCTTTCTATTGGCCACAAAATTATTTACCTGTAGCCACAGAAATGGTGACATTATGTGCACAATATCTTTTCAGCAATTATTTCAAATCGATTTTTGTATTTACTAATTCAAACATTTGTATTACAGCACTCGGTCATTAAAATAGCTATTATAAAACATTTTTACATATTGTAAGATTGATGAACGGTTTTCATTGTAAATAAATTTGGCCAACTTTGCCATCGTAGCTGGAGACAGCGCCCTCTATTGGAAGCGAGAGAAATTATGTATGACGTCATGAATATGAATTAGGTTATGAACCAACACTGAATTATATATATTGTAAATAAACACTAGCGGCACTAATTTATTTTTATATTATCTGTATATCATAGTGTTGCATTTACTGAAATAAAGCGAGGCAGTTAAAATAGAGTTCTCTTGTTCATCTTGTGTAAAAGGCTTACTAGTATTACAAGTGTGTCGTCAGTTTATCAGCCGTGAGTATATTGAAAGTGTCGACGCCCCCAGAAGCTTTTCACGTATTAGCTGTGATGGGTTGCGTTAATGTGATAAGTTGTGGACCTGTGCCTTGAGACCGATGTCTGGTGAACTGAAAAAAAGTTGTATCGAAGTGTTTCTGTGATCTACGATATTGGCGAATACACCATTCATTGTTAGTTAGTGTACGTATATATCTTAGAGAACGTTTTCTAAGTTCTATGGTGTACGTCATTTTCAGAGTGGCTGTATGAATGTTTATTACAGTCCACAGTCAATACGCAATAAGAAACAATCGTTGATTGTTGTGTCTGTAGTATTGTGATGTGTAACATGTTATAGCTCTTATGTACTGTGGTTTTGGCAATACTGCAGTGTTTGTATGTGAACTTGGACTAGTTCGAGCTGGTTGCAGATTGGTTCGAGCTGGTTTCGGACTAGTTCGAGCTGGTTGCGGACTGGTTCGAGCTGGTTGCGGACTGGTTCGAGCTAGTTTCGGACTGGTTCGAGCTGGTTGCGGACTGGTTCGAGCTGGTTGCAGACTGCTTCGAGCTGGTTGCGGACTGGTTCGAGCTGGTTGCGGGCTAGTTTGAGCTGGTTGGGGACCGGTTCGAGCTGGTTGCGGACTGGTTCGAGCTGGTTGCGGACTGGTTCGAGCTGGTTGACAATAGAGGCGAGTGCTAATCAATGTATATTATATAATAGTGTGAGAATGCACTCTCGGTATAAATGTGCGATTGCGATTCCTTGTGCGTTCTCATTTCCATCAATAGGACGCCATCACTCGACATAAACGGGAAGAAGGCATAAATTAGCTCGTTGCAATGCATGAGACAGAACAATTATTCAAAATACGTGAATTATTAGAACAGAAAAGAGAAATGTTACATATAACTCGCGTAATAGTAAATAGATAGGACATACAGAAATAAAATGAAATTCGTTCTTTATATATATGTATCTCCCAATGTCCTGCAGTAGCGGCATATCCTATTATGTACAGGTTATTATACCTACCTACTTCAGTGCAATTGTATATTAAAGTAGAAATACTCAGCTTCAATACTTCTATTTTTATAACAGAGTTAAAGATACAATAGGTTCGGACGGATGAGGAGGTTATTATTTTTTCATGCAAATGTTGGTGTGAATTACCCAACATTTTCTAGGCAAATATAGACAGAAGAAGCACGTCAGTGTTACCTACACCTCTCCAAAGCCAGGAAGAGAAAGCAATTGCTTAACGTAATGTTAGCAGGTTCGGAGTTCGTTAGCGGGAATGATGGGTAAAGCGTGTGTACGTTATCAAAGGAATGAGTGACGTTATCTAGGTTGAATTGAGGTATTTTGTAAGGCTTTGAGTGTACTCGGGAATCGCATAAGTGATATTCTGGTGGTTTTACAATAATCGTTGTATGTATGTCGTTTTCATCATTTATAATATAACATACACCCAATGTTTCACGTTCCATGGCCGAATATTACATCAGCACAGAGCGGTGAGCCGTTGCTTTCCTCACGAATGTCCGATCGTCGCCCCTCTTCTCGTCGTCCACCATTGTGGGATGTATCATACTACGTCGTCCATTTGCGTAGTATCATACGAAATGATTTGCGCCCGCAGTGACTGATTAAGAAGTGAATACAATTTGTGTAGCAA